TGGGCTGAGTCTCATGATTAAGTCACCTCTTCAGCAAGAGGAGCCCATCTCCATATTAATATGCCCACCCCCTCATTAATTGTTCACCAGTCAGAGTTGATTTCTCCTGTCAGAGGTATTCCCTTTAAAAAAATAGTTAAGGTTGATTGTTTTAAACATTAACAAACTATTATACTTTTTCAAAAAATGTGTTGCTGTGGTTGGTGAGAACATGTTACTTTGTGTGTGGGTGTGTGAAAGGTTGAATTTTTCCTTGAGGAGTCAGAGAGTTAATACTTAAGTGGGTAACAAACAGCAAAGGAATTCCTTTCTTCATCCCTGGTCAGTCTAGTTTGGGATCAAATTCTATCATCTCCCATAATGGTTAGTTACTCTGCCATATTCCCATGTCAAATGGAGAATAGAATGTCAGGGTAGGCAAAACTTGCAGATTTGCTTAGCACTGATTGATATGAGCCATGATCCTGTATTTGTGAATAGTACAATCTGCATGTGAGTGCATATTTTTGCATACACAAATTTTTATGTCAACTTTTCCCAAGAACACATAGACTCAATACAAAGGAATGCAAATATTGAAAAATGTCTAGGAACAACCAGTACCCCTGGGGCTCCTTTTGTCTTGAGAATAAAACTTAAAGTTAGAAGCAATTTTAGATGCATTTTTGTCTTATCCCATCATTTTACAGATGAAGAAACTGAGGCCCAGGTTCTTTTGTTTCTCCTTCCTTTCAACATAATCAGCTCAAATCATAGGTCAGTTCAGGAATAGTATCCCAGAAGGAAAATGTCAAGTGATGCTAGAAAGATGGATTGAAGCCAAATTATGAAGTGTTAAGCAGAGGAGTTGTCATTTTATTCTAGAGGCAATAGAGAGCTGGCTGCTGGAATCGATTGACCAGTGGAGTGACTTGCTTTGCTCTCGAGGAAAATTACTTTGGCAGTCATGTAAGGGGCTGCAATGGAATGCTGAGAGGCTTGTGGCACAGAGAACAATTAGTATGCTATTTCAGTTATCCAAGCTAGAAGTAATAAGGGTCTGAAGCTAAGTGGTAACTGTGAGAGTGGAGAGAAAGGTTGTATTGGGGAGGTAAAAATGGTAAAAATTTGGCAACTGATTAGATATGGGGGGTGAGGGAGTGTGAAGAGGCAAAGATAAGTTATTCTGTGCTAATCACTTAGTTAAGTACTAGTGGCTAGATAATGATACCCTTCTCTGGGATCATGCACATTTTAAGAGGAGCTGTCTTTTAATTTTTATTTTTTGTTATTCTGATCTTGCCAAATACCAACCAAAACAATTTTTTCCTATAAATGAAGAGGAAAAGACTATGGAACTGTGAACTTCTCTTATGTATAGCTTTTTTATAATCTATATAAAATTTATCATAGTAATTTCAAAGCTATCCTACTGTTTTCCTATGAACTTTCTGTTCTCTTCTGTGCTTTTAAAAATGCTTCAGTGGCTTTTTCTTCCCTTCCTTTTTTCCTTTCTTCCTTCTTTCTTCCTTCCTTCTTCCTTTCTGCTCACCAATTTCCCTCATCTTCTCAAATTAAAAAAAAACACCACTACCAACAACAAAACAAAATAAAACCAGAAACTCTTGCCTTGTAACAAATAAGCTTAGGCAAGCAAGACAAACCCACGCATTCACCATGTCCAAAAATGCCCCCTAATTCTGCACCTCTAATCCATCACCTCTCAATGGGTGGATAGCATGTTTCGTCATTGGTCCTCTATTGTTGTGTTTGTCATTGTATTGCTCAGACTTGAAAAATTTCAAAGTGATTTTTCTTTGCAATTTTGTAGTTGTTATATAAATTGTTTCTCCTGGTCCCACTCAGTTCTTTTTTTTTTTTTTCTGAGGCAATCAGGGTTAAGTGACTAGCCCAGGATCACACAGCTAGTGAGTGTTATGTGTATGAGGCCACGTTTGAACTCAGGTCCTCCTGATTCCAGAGCCAGTGCTCTATCCACTGAGCCACCTAACTGCCCCTCAGTTTATTTTTTTTTTAATCAACTAATGTAAATCTTCCCAGGTTTCTCTGAATCTATTCTCTTTGCTTTTTCTTACAATAATATTCCATTACATTCATATGCTATAATTTGTGCAACTATTCTTCAATTAAAATTACTCCTTTAGTTTTTAGTACTCTACTACAACAAAAAATAATTATATGAATATATATATATATATATATATATATATATATGTCTTTTTTCTCTTTCTTTGATCACTTTATAGGATATATACTTAGTAATGGTATTGCTAGTCAAAGAATATGCAAAATGTAGTGATTTTTTTTTTCTTTGCATAGCTCAAATTGCTTTCTGAGCTAACTGGACCATTAATTCACAGACCCATTGACAGTGCATTAATATGTCTGCCCTCCCTCATCCTCTCTGTTACTTGTCATTTTCCTTTTTGGGCATTTTTGCCAATCTAGTTTGAGTTGGAACCTCAGAGTTGTTTTAGTTTATATTTCTCTTTCCATTATTGAATTTGAGCAGTTTTTTATGTGGCTAGGCTATTGACAACTTAAATTTCTTTCCGTGAGAATTGTAATGTTTTTAACCCTTTTGGAACCAAAGAGTAATTCTGCTGGTGGCTATTCTAGATCAGTGGTGTCAAACTCAAATAGAAATGTGACCATTAATCCATACATAAGTGTCCCTGTGGTCCACATATTGATTCAGAAAGCCACAAGTTAACATTACTTATGCTTTATTATATTCTTAGTTATTTTGTTAAATATTTCCCAATTATACTTTAATCTGGTTCTGCAGCACTTGAGTGTTTCAGGCTACCTGCAACCATGTGTGAAATGTTTCTGTTCTAGATTTCTAAAGAGATACTTTTTTGGAATAGGTGGATCCACATGAGTAACTATTGTTACCACCTAGGTCAAAGGGCAGTTCTTGTTGGAAGCCATCACAGAAGGAAAGTGGGTTGTTTCTTTGAATTCTTCCTTTTTTTTTTTTTGGCTAGGCAGTGAGGTTAAGTGACTTGTCCAAGGTCACACAGCTAGTAAGTGTTATGTGTCTGAGGTCGGATTTGAACTCAGGTCCTCTTGACTTCAGGGCCTGTGCTCTATCCACTGTGCCACCCAGCTGCCCCAGGAAAGTGGGTTGTTGAGAAGGAAGAAACATGATTTGAACATTTCTCTGTCATTAGGGGTACCAGTTTTCACCTAACAGGGGTGGGGAACCTATGGCCTCAAGGCCACATGTGGCCCTCTAGGTCCTCAAGTGCGGCCCTTTGACTGAATCCAAACTTCACAGAGGCCTTAGCAGGCCACATGTGGCCTCGGGGCTGCAGGTTCCCCACCCCTAACCTAGTATAACCCCGGTTTCAAATACTTCTTATAGAGAATGCACATAGTGTAATTGTATATTTAAGAGCCCACATTGAATGTTGAGAAAAGCAGTTGATTCTGGCGATTTTGAAGTGATAGTTGAGAAAGGGATTATTATAGAGACTACTTTATGGAGTGAAGGACGAGGTGTGTGTTTTATCTGTGATCTATGGGTAGCTATGAAGAATCTGTGGAGAAAACAGAGATGAAGAAGGTGATACAAAACTTTTCCCTTGTCAGAGCTGTCGTAAGTGATATCATAAAAAGACATGGTATAAATTTTTTTTGGAAAAATTTGTAAGGGCTTGGCGAGTAAAGTATATTTTGGAAAGACCACTTCTGATGACTGCTGAAGAGGAAACAAAAAAAAAAGGACTAATCTAACTTATTTTCTAAAAGATTGAATTTAACCCTTATTGTAGGGAAAAATATGAAGAAGTTTCTTAAGAGACTTTAGTCAATATCTGAAGTGAACTCAAACATTAGAGACTGTTTCCAGAAGTGGAGTTATGCATTGTTATATCATTTTATCATCATAATCAATAAAAATAATAGCATTTAAATGGCATTGTAAAGTTTGCAAAATGCTTTATATGTTATCTCATTTGATCTCAACAGCACTGTGAGGTAGGTGCAATTATCCCAATGTTATAGATAAGGAAACTGAGGCACAGAGAAGTTAATTGACTTCACCAAGGTCCCTTAAATAGTAAGTGCTGTCTGATAAGATTTGAACTTAGGTTTATAAAAAGTTTGTGCTGATTGTGAGCTTTCATATAGTCAAAATATTGTAAATAGTTATTTTTGTTCTTAATTTCTTTTTGCTTTTGTTAATAACTTGTTCATATCCACTAATTTTAATATTTATAGAATTATAGGGGAATAAGAGAAATGACTCTTGGGAAAGAAAGTTTCTCCAGTGAGTGTTTGAGTCAATTAATTGCTGAGAAAGAGATTACAAATGAGTAAGGAAATATCCAAACATATCCTTGGATCACTATAGAGCTTGGTCTATTCCACCTATATACTGCAAGGCTGATCATTGCTTTCTTACCTTGTACAGGGTGAACACATGGGGTGACTTGATAGTGTGAGTTGGGGGGAAGGGCAGATTGAAAATGCATCACCTGTAATGTTACCAGGCTACTCTGCGGTGTGGTCACACACTGTAACAAGATCTTTTCCGTGTTAAGTCACACACTGTTATAAGATATTCCTACAAAAAGCCATCTGAAGAAGTCAGAAGTCGAGAAAAGGGTTGCTTGAAAGAAAAGAGTCCATTTTGCGACATGCCATTACCTGTCTATAAAAATCATGCTGGGGAGAGGGCAGTGGAAAGAGTATTGCCCTTCTAAAACCGAAATTTCACACTGTTTAGATTGAACAGTTCCTAAAACACCCTCTCTAATGAGGCGGGCGTGGCCTTTTACTGGAATTAGGATTGCCTAGACAACGGGTTTGTAAACTTCAAGCTCAGAAGCTGGGGGTGGAGACAGGGATTGCCCGGTGGGGAATTCTTCCAATCAGTCTTCAGTGTTACCTGTGAGCCTGAATCAGGGAGCGCGAACCATCCAATTGGTTCTGAGAGGGAGTGCCTGGGAGGCAGGAGGAAGCTGGGCAGGTGAGGGGGGGAGGCGCAAAAGGGATCCGAACAGATGGGTTTTCCCACCTGCATGAGGCAGCGTCCTAGTTTCAGTTTGAAGCAACTGTTTGCAACAGGTTAACGTTTAAGGTAAATTAATTGCTTGATATGTTATGCTATTGTGATCCATTTTATTTTCTCCTATCCAAAAAGATGATAGCTGTTAACAGCACTTTCTGAAGGGGAAATTTTCAAACAGTGAAAGTATCCATCCGTGTTATTGTGGCCACTGGGATGTCATCCTTAGAGGTAAACAGGTGCTGGGGGAGGTCTTGCAGAATGAGCTAATGCCAACAAGGTGCCACAGAGCTAAGCATTTTGTGTTAAAGTGTTAAATTGCAAAGTTAAATCACATCCAATCCGTGGACATCAAACTTAACAAGACAGCAAGATGCACTGGAAAGAGTGCTGAACCAGGAGTCTCAGGACCTTAGTTTAAATCCCTGACTTTGCTGACTACTTTCTGTGTGACCTTTGACAAATCCCTTAACTTTGCTGGACATCAACTGTAAAAGAGGTTTGGACTGGATGTTCCTTCTACTTCTAAATCTACGATCTTATTAGGAATTCTTATTACTAAAGGAAGTGAGGGATAACTTAGTAAAGGGGATTTCTGCCTTTGGATCCAGGCAGCACTGGCAGACAGGAACCCATTTTTTTTAAAGGTATTGTTTTCTCTTTTAAATCTAACTGCTATAGGATATACTTTCACTTTATCATTGTAAATTGTGGATACTGTGGGCCAACATATCTAACATTGTTTTGTATTAGATGTTACATGTTTATAATTGTTGAGGAAAGTGTAGGCTACTTAATATGTGAATTGTAAGCAACTGTGTAGTAGAGAAAGAGGAGAGGAGGAGAAATAGTGGATGGTGTGAGGCATTCATTTAAATGGCTCAGGTTGTTTTTTTCTTAGTAAGACACTTTATAGCAATAATCTTTTTTTTTTAAGCACTACTTGCTCCTGTCAGACTTTGTAATGGAAAATAACTGTTCAGACTTCGGAGATCACCATCTAGAATATAGTAATAACAACAAAAATAATGACTACTTGTATTTATATAGCACTTACCTTGTGCCAGGCACTGTGCTAAGCACTTTACAAATATTGTTATTATTACAAATATTCTGTGTGATATAGGAGCAAATACAGTGTTTGTGAGAAGAGGATTGATTCTATTTGTTTTTTGGGTTTTTTTAGGCATTTGGGGTTAAGTGACGTGCCCAGGATCACACAGCTAGTAAGTGTCAAGTGTTTGGTCTGGGGCCGGATTTGAACTCAGGCACTCCTGACTTCAGGGCCAGTGCTCTATCCACTGTGCCACCTAGCTGCCCCTGGATTGATCCTATTTGCAAAGTAATTAGGTCACGCAAGAGGGACAGATTCAATTCAACAAGTATTTATTATGCACCTACTATGTGCCAGGCACTGTGGTGGTTACTGGGGATACAAAAACAAAAACATTCCCTGTCTTCCAGGAGGTTACATTTTATTGGGGAAAATGACATGTATACATACAGATGAGTCAAAATAAAATATATACGAAAGATTAGTGGAATTAAGAAGTAGTATGAACAACAGAAGAAATCAGGGACATCATCCTGTAGGAGGTGGCACTTAAGCCTTGAAGGGAGCTAGGGAGTCCAAGAAGTGGAGATGAGGAGAGGGAGCATTCCTTGAAAGGGCTTTGCTCCTTATCTGCACCTGCTTTCCCTGTTTCTAGCCCCCATGTTGACATGCTTGCAGAAAGGATGTCCATGGCAGCCTGCATGGAAAATTCTCCCAGGCTTATTTCAGGTTGACATCCTGTCCTTTAGCTACTCCCTGGCTTTCCTTGCTTTCTAGTTTGAGAATATTATGATACAGATATTCTTTATTTCCAGTGTCATGAGCTTCCAGGGCACAAGGTCAAGTCAAACAGAATTTTTTAAAGTGTTACCAGCTGAAAGACATAAATGTGGGAAACAAAATGAATGATTCTGTGGTGATTGGGAATGTAAAGGAAGTAATGGATTAAAAAAAGTTGTCTTGCCGCCTTTTGTTTTAACATCACAACCATTTCTGTTTGGAGTCCCTGTCCTTAGCCCTAAACCCTCCCTTAAACAGATTGAAAACAACTAATACGGTGACTGCATCTGACTATTATATATAGCATTCTATTCTCTGCTGAAAGGAGGTAGATATGTTTTATTATCTGTTCTTAGAGATCAACATTGGCTATTATAATTACTCCAGGTCTTTCTCCTTCTCCTCCTCCTTCTTTTTCTTCTCCTCCTCCTTCTTTTTCTTCTCCTCCTCCTCCTCTTTCTTCTTCTACTTCTTCTCCTTCTTCTCTTCCATCTTTTCCTCCTTCTCCTTCTGTCTTCAGCATTTTCAGAAAATCTATATTATTGTTGTCATTGTATGTATTATTCTCCTGATCCTGCCTCCTTCACTCTTAAATCCACATACCTCTCCTTGTGTTTCTCTGAATTTCCCAATTCTCTTTTCTTTGCAATACTATTCCATTACATCATAGACCACAGTTTATTCAGCCACTAGATAGACTGATCTGATTTGAACATCCATCTGGTGGTGTCACCCTCAACTCTGACTTAAGAGGAGGCTCTGCCCACATAAAAGCTATATGGGCACTCTGGATGATCTCAAACCCTCAAGCTAGGTTTGTACTGGGCTTATTCTTGCCAACTTTGGTCAGAACTTTTACGTGTGAAGAGCTAAAGTGTCACCTCAGTGATGCCCCCCTTTATGTAATAAATGTATTTCTGAAAAGCTGCCAGTTTACCTAGATGCCTAAAGATTTAGAGCAGGAAAGGACTTTAGAGATAATCTATTCCAATGCTTTTAATTTTAAAGAAAATGAAATAGGAACTAAGAGAGAGCAAAACTTTACTTCTGGGTCCCACAAGGTCTTCTTGTACTGTTCACTCTTTTCCATGTGGAAGAAGAGGGAATACCACAATTCTGGATGGATGGCCTATAAATTTTCTTTTTTTTTTTAATTAAAAACTATAACTTCTTTAAAATTCACACAACAAATTTGCATCATAGCTGGGTCTCAAACCCACACTTTTTTGGCTTCTAGGCTAGAGTTCTTTCTAATATACCAAGCTGTATATAAATAGAGTCAGATTTTTAATGAACTAGGAAATCTATGCCTGTCAGCCCCTGATATCCATATGCCACATCCATGAGTAGCATCATGGGTACTTTTGGTGCCTGGAAAAGTCAACATCCAGGGACAGGTTAGTAGGGGTGGTTGTGGGTAGTGTTGAGTGGTCCAATTTAGAGATGGTCCATAGTAAATGTTAGACCAGTGGAGGATTGGCAAAAGGGTGACGCTCACACTTACTATATAACTTATTATATAACTAGTATTGAGTGTCATTGGCATCAAATACTGGCATTGTGGTATTTACCTTTGCCTGTTAACCATTCTGGTTTCTTTGGGAAGTGTCACTTATGACATTTTAGAGTTGTAGAATAAAGGCTGAATATTGAAGTAAGTATAAGGTAGATTTCCTTGTATTGTATTATTAGCTGTGAAAGAGCAGCTATTAGTGCAGGTGTACAGCTTTACCTACACCGATGTTTGGAGAAGACTGAAGGAAGGAATTTCAACTTGGATGAGTCTAACACAGCCCGTGGAATGGGTTTGAAAATTTGGGGCCCCATCTGCCCTGAGGAATGTCAGCTGATTTGCTTCAATAACCATTTATTAAACATATATAATATACCAGATGCTTTGTTGGGTCCAGGGGTTACAAGGACAAAGATGAAAAGGTCCTTGTTCTTGCAGGAAGTTATATTCTATTGAAAGAGTTTACACTCAAGAAAATGAGTAATTGGCAGACCTTTGCCTACTCAAAGCAATGTAGTCACTCAAACGAGTTAATTCAGGACCAAGAGACCCCCCCCCAACTTGTTTCCATCAATAATCAAATATGTGCCTGTCAAATTTTTGCTTTCCTGCGTGTGGTTATCTCTTTAGTTTCTTAATATTCTGTCTCTTTAAGATCAAGATCTGTCAGATTGCCCTGGTTGGGAAGAAACTGTGTTTTCCTGGCAAATGCCTTTGGGACCCAGGCTAGAGGAGAAGAGGAACACAGTGACATAGAGAGAGATATAACTACTTAAAATAGGTTGGACCTGCTGTGATCCCCAGTAGACATCCAGTCTGATGAGAACTCTTTATCCCACAAGACTCTAAGCCTTTATAAACCTGGGAATATTTTGCTACAGTTTCTCTTTATTTCAAATACAATAAGCTCCTAGGACACAAATCCAATAAAACAACTTTCTAAAGCATTATACACTAAAACTTTTAATTATAAGGGATTGGAATTGTCCTGTATAGATTGGACCTTAATGTTCTAAGGGGAATATCAATCTTACTTGAATTCCCACGTGGTCCTACCAACTTCTACTGAAGATGTGTCTTGAAAATAGGTTAGCAAGTATTAAATCACTTCCAAGTCCCACAAGGAATATTGTACAGCTCACTTTCTCCCATGGGAAAGGGGAGGGCGTAGGTCAATGCTGGATAGATGGCCTGAGAGTTTTTGGTCTGGAACTATGATTTCATTAGTTAGTCAATAGACATTAAGTGCCTACTAGGTGCCAGGCATTGTGCTAAGTTCTGGGGATACAAAGAAAGGCAAAAGACAGTTCTTGTTCTTGGGAAATGCACAGCTTAATGAGAGAGACAACAAACAAGCAAGTGTGCATGAACGAGATATCTACAGGGAAATAATCAATGGAGGGAAGGCATTAGAAGTAAGGGGAATCAGGAAAATCTTCTTATAGAAGGTAAGATTTTTGTTGGTATTTGAAGGAAGATGTTACAAAGGTAAACCAACAGGATTTGTCAGCAGATTAGATATGGGAGCAGGTGCTGAAGAGTCAAGAATAACATTTAAGTATGAGCCTGGGGAGCTGGGAAGGTAGTGGTGCCCTTGACAGTTATAGGGAAGCTTGGAAGGGGGGAGAGTTAAGAATGAAAGATGATCAGTTTTGGACAGGTTAAATTTAAGAAGTCTCTGGGACATCCAGTAAGGATGTGCAGTAGGTAGCTGTAGATGTGAGA